CCTGCAGCAGGTGATGAGGTGTGAGGGTCAAGAGGAGCATCTCTCCCTCACCCATGACACTGCATGGCAGACAGTGGGCTAGCTCTCCCACTCAGGGCAGACTCCCCTACATCCCCCACACCCCTGCCCCTACCCATCCCCCACCCAGCCCTCCCCTGTCTACAGGGGCAACTCTACTGCTTTGCCCAGGCAAGACACAGAGCCTTCTCTTCCGAGTGAGTGCTGCAATTAGCAAGGGGCAGGGCACGTTCTCCCCGGTTCAGCCTCGCGTTCTTACGCTATTGGTTAACGTAAAGTAGCAGAGTTGTGAGCAGAAACCAGTTTTGAGCACAAGTGCAACCTTGAGCGCATATTTTGATGCTGACCTTGGAGGAATTTGAATTTCTGCAATTTTCTCATTTTTATTTATTGTATTTTATGTGCATGAATGCTTTGCTTAACTATTTGTATGTTCATCAGATGTGTGCCTGGTGCCCTCAGAGGTCAGAAGGTGGCACTGGATCCCTAGAACTGCAGTTATAGACAGTTATGAGCCATCATATGGATGCTGGGAACCAAACCCAGATCCTCTTGCAAGAGCGACAGAGAGCTCTTAACTCCTGAGACATCTCTCCAGCTCCAAGTTTGTTTTTATTTTATTGATTTTTATTGTGCTCTACATTTTTCTCTGCTCCCCTCCCTGCCTCTCCCCTCCCCTTCAACCCTCTCCCAAGGTCCCCATGCTCCCAATTTACTCAGAAGAACCAAGTTTATTTTTAATCAAGAATTTATGTTTCATAAAAAACACCTAGAGAAAATTCTTCTATGGCATTTGCCTCTTTCCTCTGCCCAGATAAACATATACATAATATTCATCAATGTGTAACTATGCTGCCGTATACATCATGTGCCGTTCATGCGCCACTGGTGCACTGCTTTTGATTGAATTTTGTTAGCTTGACTATAAAGCTAAGAAATCAATTGACTCCTTCTGAGTAACTTTATTTTGGTGTGCCTCTTCCCTTTTGGATTAGAAAAATAACAGATGCTTATAGTGAAAAGGCAAACATTTTAGCTGTCTTAGGAAGTAAAAAGCCCCGACAGTCCCACCCCCAGAATAGCAGCTTTTAATGATATGGTGCATAGCCCTTCATATTTCCTCTACACTAATAGTGTATTTCCACATATTTTATACAAATGGCATCTGTCATCCATACTATTTGACCATTTTTTTTGTTTGCTTTTCACTTAACAGCTCAACTATCTTTGACAGGACCTTTTAGACTGATCTCAGCTTTTTGACAGAGGAAAACACGCACTTTGCAAAAACAGAATGCATGTCTAATATTTTACCGATGTATCCGTTAATTAAAAAACGAGGTCCAGGTGAGAAACTGATGCTACTGGGGTCTTAGAGATGGCTTAGCGGCTAAAGGCGCCTGTCTGCAAGCCTGAGAAGCTCAGTTCCATCTCTGGAAGCTGCACACACATACACAACAGCGAGTGCGGACATGTGGGTATATGTGCACATACACACACAGAGATGCACACACACGTGTGTGTATGCACACATGCGCATGCACACACAGAGAGACAGAGACAGAAAGAGAGGGAGTAAATGGCAATGTAGCAAGAGTGATAAAGTGATGGTATCGCTATCTATTGTACCAGTCAAGATTTCTGGGGGGAGGGGGCTCAAAGTTGATAGTTGCTGTCTCAAAACAGCAAACCGTAGTAACTAAGTCTTTGAAAACAATTAGGCAATTAAATATGCCTTTTGAATGAACAGCCAACCGACAAAGCTGAAATGAAGAATACCTTGGGAAACACCCTCCCGTGGAATTGCCTTTAGGTGGTAGGGTGACAGGCCCAGGCATCTTCAACAGCTTGCTATCAGCTAGAAACGCACTTCTCAACACCTCAGCTCAGAGCTGTTAAAGCTTCTCATTCAGTGAGAAACACAAGACAGATGATTCAGTATGCCCAGCAAGGCAATTCATTAACCCATCAAGGGCTTTTCTTCCTGAGCAGGGGAAAACCCAGAGAGAAAAGAATGTAATCCTTAACAAGGTATAAAGAGCACCGCTGGAGGGAACACACAAAGACGAGGCTTGAGGTGGGCTTTTCCCTTCCATCTGGAGTGACCAGTTGTCCCTTGAAACCACACGGATTTCCAACAAAAATTGATCCTGCCTGGCAGCCAAATAAGCCCACCCACCCTTCGCTGTCTTGGAAATGAGAAGCGATCTATTTTCTCGAACACGCTCACAGAAGGCAATGAGACATCTCATATGCTAGGGCTTTGGACTGTTCACAAAGAGCCGAAGGAAACAAGCCAATGCTTGACAGAACTGATGGCAAACAGAATGTAAGGTCTCAGCTGAGCCACAAGAGTCAACATCTTCAGTCCAGGGAGCGCCTGAGATCTGGCCTGCTTACACCTCCATAGACCTCAGAGCTGTCTGCCATGGTCTTGTCTGCTACCCTGGGATTTCTGTGCTTGTGGGGCTGCTGAAGATGGCTGCAGGAGAACTGAATGTTTTGTGGCACTGTTCTGTTTCTGTTTTCCAAAACATCTTCCTTTTCCTTATTATGTTTTTGTTCCATGAAAAAGTTTTATATCCTTCTGTAATCCTTCGTTTGAGAATCTCCCTTCTCCAAATGAGAAGTTTAATAGTGCAAAATATTTAGAAGCTAATTATACCCGCTCATCACTAAATGTTTTGTTTGCGCCATTAACACAAGTTCCAACAAGCAGATTGCTAGAAGGTTCGTATAGTTATGCTCTCAGCACAGTGCTGCGGAGCAGTAAAGTGGGGCTGGAGGCCAGAAGCGGGTACTGGAAGTCATTGAAGCTGTTTACAGAGCTGTCAGACTTTTTCAAGATACTTTATTTTCTTTAGTGCTTGTATTAGTAATTATTAGGAAAAGCAATTGTTCCGCTCTCCTCTATACTGTCCTGGTTTATGCATGTGTTTCCATAACAATCGACAGCATCCACCTTCCCTCTCAAGCATGTTCTGGTGTAGTTGCCATGTGGCCATGCTACGGAAGAGAGCAGGGCACGTCAGTATAAAGCACAGGTGGAGATAAGATTTCTAGCAGATTTAAGCACCGTCTTTAGTGGAAAGTGAACCGCTTAGGTAAAGAAAGTACACAGTCACGGGTGGGTGTGGGTGTGGCTCCTTAAGAGAGTCCTGCATTCAGTGTCTTAACAGCAGTCATATATATGATTTTGGTTATGTTGGTCACAGGGTTTCTCTCTTGGTCACAGGGTTCCTCAAAGGCACCTCGGGAGGGGAACTGAGTCAGATCAGAGGCTGGCGAAGGAAAACCACAGACACTAGGTTCTCATGAGGGAGTTAAGGCATGCTATCATAAATACAAAGTTTATGATAACGCGAGATACCCAGAATATTGCAGGTTTATAGTCGGGAAGAAATACAGCCTTATCTATTTGGACCTTAAGCATGGCTCCCTGGTATTTTAACATTTAAAAAATGTATTTATTTTTGTGCATGTGTGTGTGTGTGTGTGTGTTAGGCTGTGCCTATTAGCTGTAGAATCATAGCTCTGATGTCAAGGTGCAATGGTCCATGTAGAGAGGTCAGCTTTCTAGGAGTTGGGGCTTGCTGTCTCTCTGTGGGACCGCCTTCCTTGTTTCCGCTGCTGTGCTGTGTTCTCATGGATAGCTGGCCTATGAGTTTCCTGGCAATTCTGCTGCCTCTACCGCTCCTTTCACCCCAGGACTTCTGTGATTACAGAGTCACATCACCACATCCGGCTTGTTACAAAGGGTTCTGGGGACTGAAATCAGGGTGCCAGGCTTTCGAGACTAGGACATATGCCTGTTGAGCCACATCTCTGTATGTCTTTAAACATTCGTACTTGAAAAATACAAAAGGAATATTTCTATGTAAGTAACCTTCACAGCAAATGTATTTATGCTGGAATTTTTAAATTAATTTTGTTTAATGTATATGAGTGTTTTGCCTACATGTATGACTGTGCACCACATGCATACCTGTGCATCACATACATGCTTAGTGCCCACACATGCCTGTGCCCACAGAGGGCAGAAGGCATCGGATACCCTGGAACTGGAGTTACTGGTGATTGTGAGCTGCCATGTGGATACTGGGGACAGGCTGAGATTTTTGCAGGAACAATTTAGTGTTCTTTTCCTTCTCCTTTTTTTCTTCTTTTCTTTTCTTTCTTTTTTTTTTCTTTTTTCTTTTTTTTCAAGAAACAAGGGTTTCTCTGTGTAACAGCCCTGGCTGTCCTGAAACTAGCTCTTGTAGACCAGGCTGGCCTCAAACTCACAAAGATCCACCTGCCTCTGCCTCCCAAGTGCTGTCTCCCACTGCCTTGCACAATTAGTGTTCTTAACCACTGAGCCATTTTCCTAGCCCTGGAGACTTTTTTTTTACTTTCAGCAGGTGAAGAGACTCAGACAGGAGAGTCCCTTTCCCTTCCATGTACCCTTAATTTCCTGTCTCTCTGTCCTGCCTCAGATGCTGAATTCCATAGGTATTCTATTAGTTACACCTCAGATGCTGAATTCCATAGGTATTCTATTAGTTCCACGAGCCAGCATTCTGCCTTCACAACTGCAGAGCCACGGAACAGCTGTGCACGGAGCTGCACATTAACAGCATATTAAACAATGACAGTTTTCTGTCTAAACTTTAAGAAGTCCCATCATTCATCCTAGAGATATCCCTCCTATGAGTCTACCTTACAGAAATTCTTTTTTATAATCTGAACACACACACACACACACACACACACAAAGGTATTTCTGAATTAAAAAGAGGAAGTCGTGGAACTGTACGCACGTGAGTGGCTGTGGCTGTGTACCATGGCTAGCTCCAGGAAGCGTCTCACTTCTCCCATCATTTCCTCCACGTCCCATTCCACAAAATCACGCCAAATAAATACCAACCTAAATACTTAACTGCTTACTAGAGGATGCAGTTTCTCCCTTAATCTTCCCATCTTAGCAGATCGCCTCTCCTAAGCCTCGCAGATACATTCCCAAGATGCCACGAAGTACAATTTATCCTGTCGTGTCGTATCTATATTGGAAGAGGACTCACAGAGCTGTTGACTGCGATTACTTCTGAAGAGCGGGCCTGCCTTCTGTCTTTTAACCCGTGAGCATATATCACTTACCACTTTTAAGAATTAGTTCTAATTCTTAATGTCAGTTTGATGTCTGTGGTGTGTGCATAGGGCCAGCTCTCTGGTATTTTTCCTGGATGGGTTCTTTGAAGTGGGTGTAGCATGTTCTCCTTTATCTCCCATTATCAGGCTAATGAAGAGAGAAGCTTAAGGAAGTAGTGGAAATGTGGCTTGTTCCTCCCAACCTTTCCATGGCCATTTTAACCCAATCAGTCCAATAGATACATTAACTGTTTCCTCTAAATGTCTTTGGAAATAGATTATAAAAACATAAACCAACTACTTAAAAGGGGTTGGCTTTAACTTTTTTTTCCTTTCCTTTCTCTGATCTAGCTTATAGGACAAGGACAAATTCAAAAGGCTAAGAGACGAAGAAGATTCCGGGAAACAGCTGTGTGAAAGCCAGGGGTCAGATTGTACCATTTCCACTTTCAAGGGCTATGAAATGTGGCTTCCACTTAGTTCTGATCTTAGAGTAGAACGAAAAATGGGGGAGAAGGTATATAAAAAGTAGAATTGCCCCTTCCTTCAGTGGGCACTCTTGCGGCTGCTCGCCCTCCCCTCCTCCCTAGCACCTCACTGGCTTTGTCCCTACTTAGCCTTGAAGACTTTGCTCCAGGTTCCTGTGTTCCTCCCTCTCCATCAGCTTCCCTCCTCTCCATCCTCCCCTGCCTGTCTCCCCTTAGTCCAGGAATGAAGACTGAAGCCCTCTTCCATCTCCGCTCTCTGCCGCCCTCCTACACGAGACTTCATTGATGATCTTGTTTACCGTTTGCACCAATCCCCCTTGCCACCTGCTCCCTAGATTGTAACGTCCCTTGCAGTAGGGACAGAGCCTATAGTGGGTCCCAACAAAGGTTTGTTTAACGAACAAAACCTAGAGATGTTTCAGTATGTCTTCATAACCCTGGGTGCTTATATAAACCTCACATTTACTTTCTGGTGTGAGACGGTAGGTGGAGGTAGGAGGTACAGAAGCCTTCAAATTATTGTGTGGATCGCCCAGGGAATGAATTCCCCAGCACGGGAGCAGACTTGCTTTGAATTGACTCAGTGGCCAGAGTTCAGAAGCTGGTCCCCAGTTCTGCCTCTGTGGAGTATTGGTTTGCAAGGCCTCTTGTAATTAGCTCACCTTGCAGCTTCCCTAGCTCCCTAGCCTCTTTCCCCTACCCCTGAAAAACTGGGGTAGATTTTTGGGAACATCACAGATTCCACATATACCTATTGTTGTTTGTTTTGTTTGCTTAGCTGGACACACCATTCTGGATAAGCTGACTTAGGAGACATAGTGACTCTTGTCATTTTTCTGTAACAAGGGTGACCCGGAGCACTTTAGGCTGGGAGGAAATTGGTTTCTCTACTCAGTCGCTCCCACTGCAGGAGTCTGGGCACCATCTCAGCATCCATCAACATGACTGAATTAGTTGCCGCTCCATCTGATATTAATAGTGATGGCGCCTGGCTACAGGCAACCTTCCCTGCTCTGCTAAAAGAGGTTGCGACCTATTTGCACAAAAATTCAAGCGTGTGAAAATCTGCATTTGACTGTACCTTTAACATCACTAATTAGAGACACGGTCATGCGAACTGGGCAACCTCTTTTAAAAACCCAGTGAGTCCGAAACTATTAACTAGTCAAATATCATGAGTGAGTTTACTATGTATTGGCTCCAATTCGAACATCAAACTGGTATCTGCTGGGGAAGTCAGTGGAGAGTGGGGAAGTGGAAAAGTACAGGGAGTGCCAGGCAGAAAGTGATGGGAGACACAGGAAATTAGCTGCTGCAGACCACACCTCCCCCCAAAAGGAGGACTGGAAGAGGGTGGGGGCACAGACAGTGCTGGGCACTTGGGGAATAAGCTGAGAAGTAGAGAAATGTTCAGGAAAGAATTCTGAAGGAAACAGAAGGGGCCCAGCTGTGTGGAACGGGTTCCTTCATTGGGTCTGTGATCGCCTCAGTAAAATAAAGAACGACGAGGCCATCTAAGATGGAAGTTTTAGGAAGTATGGCAGGATGGATGAAGTTATGGACACCAAAACCACGGTTGTCATCTTAAAGATGTAAGAAAGTTTATTCTAGAGATATTTTGCGTGATCAGGGACCAAGAACATAGATTTAGGTTACCTCAAATTCCATGTTCCAAGTTTCGTAAGAAGTTTTGAAAAGTTTTTCTGGTTTTACAGAACAAAGATAGTCATAAAAGAGGAAAATTTAAAATACATTGGTGGAGTTCAGCAGGTCGTGGTGGAGGCACACGCCTTTAATCTCAGCACTCAGAGGTAGACGCAGGAAGATCTCTAGGAGGCCAGCCTGGTCTACAGAGGCAGTTCCAGGACAGCCAGGGCTACACAGAGAAACCCTGTCTCAAACAAACAAACAAACCATTAGTGAGTCCCTCAGAGAGACAAATATAGAGAAATGAGGGTCCTCTTTCCTCTATGTCTGAAATGCTTTCTGAGCGTTTGGGTTGGTGGGAGTCAGTGAGCTACTAAATTAATACATTTCAAAGAATTTTATCTCTTAGTCACCAGATGGTAGTTCTGACACCGAGGTAGGCAAGGAATGGCTGCGGAGGGCTGGAACTAGCCCAAAATTAGGTAAGCAGCCTTCAGACCTGCAACATTCTGGCCTCGCCACGGTACTGCATTTCCAATCCACCTCTGCAGGGCTTCCTTGCAGGACATATTTTGTTTGTTGGTTTCACTTTCTGATACCGTATATGCAGAAAACTTGGAAGACATAAACAAGCACAAAGGACCCAACAAAGCAGCAAAAACAGAGGGCCAAAATCTTTGCCATTGGATCAGATACGCCTCTGGTCTTCTGTCTGGCTGTATTTGGCGTGTGCAAATCACTTTCTAGAATGTAAACCATGTTTCATACACACCGCCTTATAGCCTGGCATGATAGATCTTGAACCATGCTAGTAAACTGGCTGTGAGCAGCTGTTTTTTGTCTTTGTGTGGTTTCTGTATCCTCTGTCCTTCCCACCCCACCTGCCTGCTGGGCTGCAGGAAGCTGCAATCTCACCAAGGCTGATTGCTTGTTCACTGACAGGGTAAATGGCTCAACTTAAAATAATAACGAGTTCTGCTTTGAACCTCACTTTGCATATATTTTCTTTCTAAGTATAAGAGGCTTTTAAGTACGTATGTAAAATAAAATAAAGTTGATTGATTAGTGTAATCTACATCCTAACATTCAGAGCATCCCATTTGTAAAACTAAATCATGAAAACATAGCCTGGGGAAAGAAAGCCGACTCTACACGTGGAGAGAAGAAGCCAAGACACGTGGAGGGAGTGATGCATGCACAGATCAAACAATCTTTTACATTTCATATCTTTTCCTCCTTTTGAGGTGGGAATCTATGTACATAGCCCAGACTGGCCTCGAACTCATGATTCTCCTGTTGAGCTGTAAGACGATGAGAACGTGCCGCTGTGGCCCGCAGGCTGTGTTGTGTTGTGTTGTGTTGTGTTGTGTTGTGTTGTGGAGTCAGGCTATCATGCAGTTCAGTTTAGTTTTGAACCTGGTCCTCCTCCCTCCACCTCCCACGTGTTAGAATTACAGGCATGTGCCGCCACACCTCGCACGTTTCATACTTGGGATGTGGGTCAGAAGTGTTGGCCTAAATATTTCTCAGTAGGTCCCTCGTTTTACATGTGAACCTCTGCAAAATCCAGACACCTTGTTTTCCTGCCCCTAGGGTTGCTCTCCTTCCCAGTTGCAGTTATGGGAATTCCCAAGTATGAATAGATACTCCTGTTCCCATTAACTGTCTGTGTAGCAATCTACCCTAAAACACATTGGCTCAAAACATCCATCCATTTACTGTACTTGGAGAGGCCACGGGCAGGAATTCTGAGCAGACATACCATAGGTGGCGTTTCTCTGCCCTTGATAACTGGGCTTTGTGTGACCTGAGCTCTGGGGGACAGAAGCATTGGGGCTGGGCCATGCCTCTCCATTTGCTTGAACTACACCCCATCCCCATCAGCAATGCCGAAGTGGATCTTCTGTGACACCCCCAATGTCATGGCTTTAGAGTTGTCACGTTTGTTCTGTAGTAGCCTCCATGTCTCAGGTGTCCCCCAGGGGTCAAGTTGAAAGCCTCACAGCCTCTCATGACCCTGCCCCAGAAGTCACAAGCCGTATTCCATCGGTCAAAGCAGTCATGCCTTCCTTGCTCCAGTTCCAGGAGAGGGAGTATAGGCTCCACCCTTGGAGGAAAAAAATGTCAAAAATGTGTTCTGTGACTCGGCACGGCCTATTAGCCTCTACTCTTTGACTTATTTGTGCAAGCATGAAAGACAGATTAAAGATGGACACCAAACATCTCAAGTTGAGAGCAGATGCTCCTTCTTTGTTCTCCACGCTTCCAGAGGCAGAAAGGAAACACAAAACAAAACAAACGAAAATGATGGGATTTGTGGTGATTTTCATTTTCTAAAGAAAAGTCCATCTCCTGCTTTGTAAACTTGGCAACTTGCAGCACTGAGAAGAACTAGCTGAAAGCAGAGTGAGCAGAGAGGGCTCGGGGTGCAAACCCACCTTCAGCGCACGGAAGAGAAGCTTTTAGAAAAATCCTTTGGAAGGTTTAAGCAGTCAGTGCAGGGGCTGGAGAGATGGCACAGATGTTAAAAGTGCGGGTTACTCTTCCAGAACGTCGTTACTAATACCCATCGTAGGTGGTTCACAAACACCTGTAGCTCCAGCTCATAGGGATCCAAACCCTCTGCTTTCTATGGGTGCACACATACACATGTACACATATTCATAATTTAAAATAAAAATTCATAAAAATATCAAGAAAAGTCAAACTTTGGTCCTTACAGAGAGTGGCCTATATACATATCTACAATAACCTATCCACCACTACCTTGTCCTGGGAAATACTTCCTCGTTTAAACCAAATGAGGACACCTAATGGGATCACTTGGAGACTTTGACCTGTGTCTCCTGGAGTTTGAGGGATACTGGGCTAATAACTGTCGTTAGAGAAACTTAAAGGTTCCAGGATGGAATAGAATGGGCAGGATTTCATGTTCATGAAGGAGCCCACTCACAGACCATGTAGAAGGGGACATGATCAAAGAGAACAACCTTCATGGAGAAGCAGCCTGGCAGACAACCCTGTATGGTTCAGTGCCACATCATACAGCCGTATCAGCCACATGACCCCACCATTCACCCGAATCCTTCCTCTTGTCCAAGGGACCTGAGTAGGAACAGAGCAGCTGGTGGTTGGAGAAAGAGGGAAAGAGTTGCTGGCTGTCTCCCCTCCTTCAGGCTTCCACAACCGAAGAATGAGGGTAAGAGAGACTTTAAAATGAACGAAACACCACAAATGTGACTCTTGACTTCATGTGCTTTTGCCGGACTTAAATGAGAGTATTCTTAGAACTGAATTAAACCAGAGAAGCTAAGGCGTTCACTTTGGAGCAGCAGAAATAAAAAAAAGCAAAAAGAGTTAAAATGTGTCCATTACATTCAATAAGCATGATATACATATATACACATATGCACATATCTATACGAAAATATATTCTGATTTAAAAAAAAAAAACAACTTTTTGACATAGAGGCTGGCCAGGAACTCACAGAGATCAACTTGCTTCTGCCTTCCATGCTCCAAGCATGTGCTGGGATTAAAGGCGTGTGATACCACATCTAGCCCAATTTTCTAAACTTTATTTTGACCATATGCTATTTGTGATTATTTAAATGTACATCTGGGTTGGGCGGTGGCACACGCCTTTAATCCCAGTCTTCAGCAGACAGATCTCTGAGTTTGAGGCCAGCTTGGTCTACAAGAGCTAGTTCCAGGACAGGCTCCAAAGCTACAGAGAAACCCTGTCTCAATAAACAAAGCCAACCAAACAAAAAAAAAAAAATGTACATCTGAAACCAGGCAT